GAATTCTACACTGATTTCTTCGATAAAGAGTTGCCACCTCATATCCTTGTTCAAAACCCTTCCATCAAAGGCCATAAACCTCGTGCAGGTTCATACAATTGCACTCGCACTCTAACTGTTTGATAAAAGTGCTAGCAGAATATATTACCTTATTTTGTAAAATAAACAACTAAGTCACATTGTTGTTCCATATTTATATTCATTTGTTAAGATTAGTAGTAGTTGTAACTTGTAACTAATATTGATGTTTTAAATTTTGGAATGTGATGTTTTAGAATTGTGTTTTGGCAGATACCTATTTTGGACATGGAACTGTGGATAACATCAAATGCCATCTAAATGCTGTTGAATCAAAGGCAAGATAAACAAATTAATAAATAAACTTTTGACTCATTGGTTATTTGGGTATATAGATTCTAATTGAGTGTGTGTGACACATAATATCAGGGTGAAGTAGATGCTGTTTTTGTTAATACTGTACTCTCTGGGGTTCAGCAACGAAATCTGGAGGCAAGTTCTTTTTTGTCGTCTACTTATATAACTTTTTTCCCTTCTTTATGGAACGGCATATTGATTCTTTGTTGTGTAATTGCCAGCGTGTTTGGAATATACCTGTGCTCGACCGTGTGGGTCTTATTATTGAGATATTCAATGCTCATGCCTTTACTAAGGAAGCAAAACTGCAGGTTTGCTCCATGTCTCTAATGGCATTTTTCAAAGTTGATACTATTATTATGTCTTGAATCTCATGTTGCATTGTAACTGCAACTAACCTTCTATAAACATGTAGGCCGAACTTGCAGCTCTATCATATAAGAAGAGTAGACTTGTTCGTGTTCGTGGTCCAGGTGGACGCTATTCATTTGGAACTGCTGGAGAAGCTGAAGTTGTTAGTGCTCGAGGGTTGGTTTACTTCCTTATTTTCTGCAGTTTCATAGTGTTTTGTATTCAAAAGCAACAAAAAAATCATGCAAATGCTAAAATGTTCAATGGGGTAAATTACTTCCCTTCCTGAAATGGTATCAATCTGTTTGCCTTTGTGTTTCCTTCAGGGTGTCAGCTGGCTAGAATAGCCTGCACAAACTTAGTATTTCAGTGGAACAACCTGATTCTTGCATATTACATGCCCACTCTGTATGGCACAGCCTTTTGTAGTGTAAATTGTTCATGAGGATCTAATTTATTCTTTGAATCACCAAATGTTACTTGCCATACTTACTTCTGTTTTCACACTACAAGTGTGAACATGGCTGAAACTGAATATAGTTTTTTATCATGTTTCCTAACCCTTTATCTCTCTCCCTCTTGCACATGTTTCTGCACTTTTGTTTCTCTTTCTGTTAATCAGTGTATTGTCTAGCCTAATTTATTGTCACTATCTAAATTTGATACTTGTCAATATCAGGAGAGGAGGCGGGGGACAAGGTTTTACGAGTGGTGCTGGAGAAACTGAACTTCAGCTTCAGCGACGAAGGTATTATTATTCTCAAGTGCTCTATTTTTGTTTTTCCTATCATAACTTATTGTTTCCTTATCAGCTTGTGTTATTTTCAAAGATTATATTTTCCTTTCTCATTCCATCAAGTCACAACAAATTTTGTGCTTCAGAAAACTTGTATGTTAAAGGCTCTGTAAGTTTAATCTGCACTGGATTAAAGTTTAATCCAAACTTAGGACAGGTGGTGAGTGTCATTGGATATATTGTTCTTAAGCCTATGCTGTTGTAATTTTCGTGGTGCTTTCAAACCAAATGCATGCAGCCTTATTTGAGATTAACCTGGTCTGGTCATTTACATTGTAGTTTTGCTGGATAATTCATTCAGTCTATGGTCTTTGATCTAATGAACTGTGAAATATCCTCTAGTTTTCAGCTCTATTTCATATTATATATAATTTGGTCACTGAATTGTGAAATACTTCTTAGAATCTTAGAAAGGAGAAGTTATCTATTATCGCAAATTGAAGAGGTTCGCCGTACACGGGCTGTGCAACGTGCTGGCCGCAAGCGACATGGAGGTTCTTTTGGACAAGGCTTAGCTACTGTTGCTGTCGTTGGGTATACAAATGCTGTAAGTGATCTAAGTGTGTGTGTATATATGCTTCTGTTTTTGAAAAAAAAAATTGCAGTTAGGAGCATCACTGATATGCCTTTCTATATGTTCAATTAGGGAAAATCTACTCTAGTTAGTGAGCTATCAAACAGTGAACTGTATAGTGATTGTCGGTAAAACCATGTTCCCTACAACCTACCTCTACGCACATTTATATCCTCTAATTCTGATATGTTTAATTTTTAGTGTTAGCCTTTTCTCTTTTAATACTAAATGGTATTGCACGTATTGCAGACTATTTGCAACAGTCGATCCTAGATTGCGGAGTGCTGTTCTTCCTTCAGGGTAATTTAACCAGGAGTTTACCCACTTTATGTTAATCCCTGTTGCTGTTTTCTATTTGTTACATTTGGTTGATAAAATTGAGTACATATATATGCTTCACTGTTCTAATTTTATGTACAGGAGGAAAGTGCTTTTAAGCGACACAGTTGGATTTATATCTGATTTGCCTATACAGGTAATGGTAAACCATAAGAAAATTGCCATGCCTGTAACTCTGTTTATTGATCGATTCTTGTCAACATTATTCTTTAACACTGACCCTGACTGCCTTTTTCTCTTTTTTAATTTCTGAAGTTGGTGGAAGCATTTCATGCAACTTTAGAAGAAGTGGTGGAAGCAGACCTGCTAGTGGTATGAATTTGTATCTTTTTTATTTGCTGGATATTTTTAGTGGCCATCTAGCATGATTTTGCATCTACTTTCATGTTATTTTATGCAAGTTTCAAAAACTCAGGAGTCCATGCTTTTACCCCTTAACCAAAAAACAAAAAAAAAGGAGGAAAAGGGTGAAGCATCAAAGTAAAGGCTGATATGAAAGATGATGGAAGCATATCTCTTGCTATAGTATCCTTTATGCTGGAAGTTTAATTCCTGTAATCATACAGATGGTGTCAGCCTTCTTACTTATGGCTTCTCTTCATCACACATAGAAAGTTGTTCTTGTGTCTGTGTCTGTTTTATATAGTATGAGTTAGTGTGAACATAAGACCCATTTTTGGCTTTTCATAGATTCTTTTGCACAAAAAATTCTGAAGATTTATCTACTTGGAATTTGGTTTTTTATGTGTGTATAATACAACTCAACTGACAAATCTATCCTCCTGGAAGCATGTGGTGGATTCAAGTGCTCCCAATCTTGATGAGCATCGCTCAACAGTGTTGCAAGTTCTTCAGCAAATAGGTGTCTCAGAAGAGAAGCTTCAGAATATGATTGAAGTTTGGAATAAGGTAATACAATGCATCCACCCCCTCCCCCTCTATATATACAGACCAAAATAGCTGATCTCTCCACTCAATCTCTTGAAATGTATAGATTGACATTGAAGAAGAATGCTTGGATGTTAATGAAGACGAAGAAACTGGTGAAAGTAGCAGCTTCAGTGAAGAGGATGATGTAAAATGTGAGACAATAGCAGAAACAGAGAAAGATGACGCTGGTCGTATTTCTGATGCAGAAAATGAAGGCAACGATGATATTGGCAATCATAATGTCAATTATGAGGCCATGGAAGAAAAAGAAGACTATTCTGATGGTTGGTTGTATGAGGATACTTTGGTTGATGAAGATGATTTTCGTTCACCTTTAACTGCGGCTGACCAACAAAATGACCCCTCTAATGAAAACAGTATTGCAAAGAAAGATAGCTTAATTGGACCGTCTGGTCCGCATGTGAAAACATCAGCTATCATGGGAGTTGGGTTGCAAGAATTGCTGGGACTAATAGATAAGAAGCTTAGTGTCCAGGATAAGCCTGCACAGGTGGTCGAAAGAAGTATCTTCGATCGAAAATGGAGGCCCTCTCAAACACAGGATTCTAGCATTGCGGCTGAGCAGTAGTCTGCTCCATGGACAACAGTTTCTTTCCTAGAAGTATTCTGGTTGTGATAGTTTCCTAATCATAAAAGTTTAGCTGGTCTGGGAAGTTTTCCACCTGCTTTCCCTAACACTTTGGTGGGAGCCATTGCGTGCTAGAGAAATCATGGGACAAACTTGGCCTCACATCAGAGGGAGCACATCTTCTGTCCCACAATGTATGTCACTTCATGCGCCATGAACTATGATTGGTTGAAAAAATATATTTAAAATAAAAATTTAATTATTAAATATTTTTCTGACCAATCATAGCTCATAACACATTGTGGGACAGAAGATGTGCTCCCGACATGAGATGCAGCCTCAACATGTATGAACTCTGAATACCGATTGTATTTGAGTAGTGTATTTTTTTTTGTAATAACTCAGTGCTCTGCTACAAGATAATAGGGAACCCAGAGTATGTAGTTGGAATTGAAATAAACACTATTGAAATCATGGTATTATTTGATATACACTGTATTAACTCAACCTATTCCAAGTGCAAATAAAACATAACTTTCACCAAAACAAAAGCTTATGGCTTCTTTGTATAATGTAGGTCCTCAAGATCATGGTTGTGGGTAAAAGGGGAGTGTCCTAAAACTGTGATGTCTCTGTATGACTGATATTATAACACAAAAGCTTGGTTAGTTTTTATTGTATTGAACTTTACATTCTGCAACTGGTTTGGCTTCGAGATTTTCTTTTCACTTTAACTTGCTCTATGTAAATGTTAGGTTGAAATGCCCCTTGTATTTCTTGTATTAATAAATCTGTCATAAAACGAGTGTCATGAATTTATTGAAAATTGTATGTTCTGAATTCTGATATGAAAAATGTGCAGTTGTGGATTTTTTATTTCTAGAACTTTAGATTCATTGCTTAATTATATATCTTGTAAATAATGTAAGGTTCAAATACTTTATCTTGTGACTTAATCATACTTTCATCAATCCCTCAACTACAATTATCCCTTTATATATATATGGTCTAGATTTAGTAACATTGGAAGACGAGATTCACTCATGATATTTATTACTACAAATTAATAATTATTTTCCTACGCTATCAAGCTCCTAGTGAGAAAGAAATATATCTGCAAGATAAAAAAGCATTAGACGTTTTTCTTTTTTGCAATTACAATTGACTAAACTTTAGAGAAAATTGGAACTATATTTAAGAGGGGCCGCGCGAACGCAAGTCCCCACAACCACAAATTATGACATAGACTCCACCACTTGGGTAGACCTTAGAGTAGTACCCCTCCTAAGTGCAATGAAAATCACTACTCTAGGCCATGGGCCATCTTGATCACCCATTTACCCCGTCCAGGTAAGTATGTTTCTACATCACATTCACTTCATTTTTATACACAAACCTTCTCACTACAACACCGGACTGAGCAATGTGGGACTTCTTAAAACTAATGTTGTAACCATTTTCAGTGGATGTTCTCAAGGTCCATGAAAAAACAAGAAGCTTAATTTGATGTTAAAGAGCCAACTACATCCTCACCACCTCCTAAATCTAGGATACTCTCCAAATTCCATATTAATATCCTCTGATTATCATAAGTTTGGTTGTTTTGGTTTGGTTTATAATTGAAGACCAACCTTCAACATGAGCTACACCATACATTACTCAAGCATAATAACACAATTGTGGAGAAGAGAGTTATAATCCTACACATTATCATAATGGAAGTGTGCTTCTGCAGAAAATAGACTTAATAAAACTAACTACAATTAAATAGTTAAAATGGTATAGCTATATAAGATATTGGCTAAAGTACATAGCTAGAATTACTCTACACATATAAATAAGGCAAGAAAAACAGAAAATGATTGGAGAATGACACTGTTGAATAGAACTTTACAAGCAAAATGGGAAGTGAACTACTCATGATAGATTTCACATCATATCTATTGATCTCAAAATTGGTTAATTTGCACCCCTAAACTTTATATGGCATGGCAACAATCTCATTTGCATTTTTGCAGTCACCATTTGAAATAATAGATTAGAGGACTATACATATAATAGGATAGTTCACATAAATCATTATATAACATCATGCAGAAAGAAATGTTCAAAGCTAAGCCATCAAAAGTTCAATAAGCTATAATATGCCATAGACATAATATGATTGTGTGCTTTTTAGAATTATAGAGTAGGGATATTCACCATTTACCATACATCACTATAAATTAATATTCATCTTTTTTAATGACCAGGAGGTACATAAATTACATGGTTGAAACAAATGTCAATGATGCTATGTCAGATAGCATTGTAAGAGGAATTTGAAAAGCAAACAAACCTTGGAGGCAATGTAATGATTAGAAGCCTTGTTTAGTTATTATGTGTTTCATCTCCTTCAATTCTTTTGAATAATTAGAAACCTGAGATATAGGAGAATAGAAATAAGCTAAGTGATACTATTGCATCAACAAATTATGTGTTACCATTGATAAGAGCTTATTATCAATGTGCAAATATTGCATCAACAACCTTCAACCCACACCATAAAACTAAAAAAACAAAAAAGTGATGGTTCAAGTGGCTTGACTTACCTGGCATTGTGGGATTAGGACACTTTACCCTCTTGTCTAGGAGTCATGACTCAACTCTCAACTTGGATCGGGTAGGCCAACATAGTGCAAAAAACATCCTAACCTAGACAAACCATAGCCATATCCCATCACCTTCATGTCCCAACTTGGGTTACAAGGTACAATTACCCAGCTCCACAAACTGAAATGTTTCATGAATTCCAATGAATAACTTTAGTAATGGATAAATTTGAATTCATCCATCGTATCCAATAGATATATCCATTTGGATGGATATACAATCCATCCATAAAAACAAAAATTTAAAAATGTTATTTTTTCTTTTCAATTTCATTTAATATTCGTGAAAATTAAAATCAAGCAAACCAATCTATGATTCTCAATCTCACTTTCAATATTTTATTAAATTGATATCAAGTTTAGGACATGTGAATGTAGTTAATATTAAAAATTTACTCTTAAGTATATGACATATATGAGTATGATAAAAAATATATGAACTGACAGAATACGAATTTTATACATTTTCACTTCATATTTGTCACCCTTTCTCTTCACTCAAATTCACTCTTCCCAATAATTTATATTTAACCTTAGACATGATCTTGATTTTTTTAAATAGTGTATGTAAAAAGGTTAAAAATAAATAAGAAGATAAATATAAATATATAAATTGTCAAATTGTCTCTATATTTATAAACATGGTCCTTTTTCATGATCCACAATTCCACATGATTTTTCACAAAGCCCACAAATTCTCAAAATTCCAAAGCTACCTCATGCTAAGATTCCACAATAAAGGATAGATAGACATGCGATGTGCATGTCATGATGTAGTATTAAAGATTTGATTTAAAATTTAAAAACATAGTTTATTTTGTGATAACCAAATGTATCTCCCACTCTATCGATAATGAATTAGGGATGACAATAAATTCGGTAGTGCACTACTTTACATATCCCCGTCCATTCATATTTGGATCCACTCCACACGTGCGTAGGTATTTATTGGGTATGTTTCCCATGGGTCTTTGGGTACACCCAGCAGATCCATGAATACTTATAAATTTAGAAAATATTAAAATCAGTTGTTAAAAACTTATGCAATCATGAATTTGAATCATGAATTTGTTTCCGATAATCCTATATGTTATTTAGGTAATTAAAATTAAAAAAAATAATAATAAAATTCTAAAATATATTTCAAACATGAGTACAAAGTTTAAATTCTCAACTAAACACAAATACTTTTATTCAATCAAACACTATTCAAACGGAAGCTTATGAGAGACTTGGAGTAAGAAATTTTAGGAATCAGGTTTCTTATTATTATTATTATTGGAGATTTAGGCATTTAACTATAAGGTGATATTAAATCATGCAATTGCATGTATTATTTGTGGGTACGTGTAGGCTTTGGTACCCATTGCCCCTTGTAATGAAATAATTTTTTATGACTGTGTAACTACCTTTTCAAACAAGCATCATTCTCATAAATCAAACCTTATCCTATGGTTTTGTACTATACTTGTAGATCCAAAAATGTTTTAAACACTAGACTAACTCTTTGTTGGCAAAGATAAATGGAAAGAATAAACATAAATTTGTGTTATTAATTAAATTAAAAATCCTTGATTAATTGTTTTAAAAATCTAAAAGATTAATTTTTTTAAAAGAATAAACAAATGACATTAATCACATTAAAAACTTTAAGAACATAACCTTAATTTAAATTTTTAAATAAAAAATGAAATTAAAACATTTCAAACCATAACATACAAATCCACATGGTAAATATTATAAATATATTATACAATAACTACGAATGTAAAAATTGATTTATTCTAGTTAATTTACTAAATTATTTTCTTGAATTTTTTATTAAAAAATGTGTTTATATCCATCTATTACAAGAAATGATATCTAGTACAAATGAGAAAGAAATATACCCTAACATAAATGCTTAGGCTACTTCAAGAAAGGGGAAAAGTGAAGAAATTATTGATATGAAGGTTGAAGTGCAAAATTCTTGTCATTCATTTTTTATTTTATTAAACAATGCATTTTGTGTTGTGTTCTTTTTTAGTGAATAACAAAAACAACAATATACCAATCCTTACATGTTATAATAAATCATTACTCTTTTATCTACTCCCACATTTGCATTTTCATGTTAATGTGTGTTATAAATAAAAATAAGATACTTTTAGAAAATTGTTCAAAACACAATATCTACCTTCACTTATAACTTATATTTATTTTACATAAAGTCTTCTAAATATTATTTATTATTGTGAATATGTAATTTGACATATAAAATAATATACGTGTATATATGATGAAAAATTCGACAAAAAATGGGACGGGTCGGGACGGGTCGGGACGGGTCCTGTTTGGTCCCTACCCGACCCTAAATATTGTCTGAGTCTAATTTTTTAACCCGAACTCGGCCCTAGACCCGATGAAACCCGACCATTTTCAAACCTTGTATCGTCTATCATTCATATTTAATCATTATTAAAAAAAAGTAATCTAGATGCTGAATAATGTTGTAGTGACTGTGTATAAAATCTTTACACTACATTGCATAGATATTGTATTACACTCATATATGAATTCTCAGATATGAAGTAAAATTACTGGTCCTAGAAAATAAAATAGAATCACTTCATTTTTCTTTGTGTTCATGAGGCCTATGATTGAATCAATTTATCAGCTTTCAGCATCATAGAGTCACATCTCTGAGTCCATTTTGTGAAGATTGCAACACTGCTATAAACAACTATGTCAGCTTTATAAAGTAAACTAACTCTAATTGAAGCTGGAGAAACTCACCAACAATAAAGCATGGTAGATCTAATCATGAAGCACAATTTGATTTTCATAATTGGCACAAATGGACTGTAACAAGTGTATAAATGTGTCTGTTCCATGTGCATAGAATGCGGAAAAAAGGGTGTTGAGAAACACTTAATGTCAATAACATGAAATGCTAACATTAATTTTCTACATGCATAATAATATATTCATCCACAACAGAATTTAGATTTTAGAGCAAAGCTACATAAACAACATGTATTCTATTGAATTAAGAAAAACATTATATCAGCCTAACAGACCAGCCTCAAAATCCTCCTATCCATAAAAAAAAAGTGACACGTGTTACTCGAACTAATACATGTCAACTTCATATGAGTTTTGAAGTTAGGATATTAATCACGAATTAAAATGTTTTAGGCTTAGTTTCGAGTAGGATATAACATTACTCTTGAATTAATGCAATTTCTCAGTTTTGTATTAGCATAATCCCAATTCCATGAACAGACAGCTTAATACAAATTTGTTGTGTAAAGTTCTGGGGTCATGGGAGCATACTATTTATTTTGAAACTACATCACCACTCAAGTATTTTTAGTTCATTATCTTGTAAATTTATTCAATATAAATGCATAAATATTTTACACATGCAGATTGATCAGTGATCCAAGATTCCAAGCTTCACCAGATCAATGTTAAACATGAAGAGTAGTAGTTCACAACTAGAACAATGTTATATTCTTCTGTATATCCCCATCATGTATGCAGGTAAGCATGGAAACCGGTTCGATCAAAATGCGAAAAGTTGTGTACCATGATCAGTGTTATAAAACACAACTCAATCAATCTTTCCTATTGAGACAGGAACCTTTTCTTCATGCTTTCTAGTTATGTTAATACATCGACGCCTTAAATTTTTAAAACTAATTGCACCTGCAATTCTCTAGTTT